AGTAAGAGTATCTTTTGAGAAAGACTAGAGATAAACAGTAGATTTGAGTTCAACTGCTTTAGGACTGGGAAGTGGTTTTAAAAGAATCTTCTAGAATAAGAAAGTATACAAATCTATCAGACTTCAGGTAAGGTTGACCTCGACTCTTATATATCTTCCCTGTTTTCCTACCAGTCAAGGAAAACAAAAAAGCCAAGAAAGGATTTTGCTTGTCAATAATCTCATGGACAAAACTCATTTAAAAGCTTAAAAGGAGGCTGGTTGTGGTGGTTCATACCTGTAATTCCAGCACTTTGGGAGGCCAAGTCAGGAGGATCCCTTGAGGCCAGCAATTTGAGACAGTCTGAGCAACATAGTAAGACCTATGTTATGTCTATATAAAAAAATTTTAAAAATTAACTGGGCATGGTAGTATGCCCTATAGTTAGCCCGGGAGTTGGAGATTGCAGTTGAGTTGAAGGTTGCAGTGAGCTTTGATCGTGCCACTGTACTACAGTCTGGGTGACAGAGTAAGACACTGTCTCTTTAAAAAAAAAAAAAAGAAGTAACCTGTAAGCCTCACTATTTTGTAAACAAATAGGAGTTTCAAGAGTGTATATTTTTAATAATAAATATTTAAGCTGAAAACTGTGCTTGCTTTTTTACTGAGGCATGACATGGGTTTCATTATTATAATGCATTATAATGTGCTTTGTTCTTAAATATTTGCTCAGCCATTTTTTCATTCATTCAACACATATTTGCTGAATATATAAATAGAGTGTACTCTTAGAGAGAGATAAGTCATATTCAAACAGCTATAGTAGAAATGGTACACAGTCGCAACCAGTCACAATGGCAAAAGTAGTACCATTACTGGAGAATGTAAAAGAAGGTGAGATTGCTTCCAGCTAGGAAGATTTAAAAAAAAATCTGTTCTTCTTTGGTTGTCTGGGCTTGAAGGGTCTGAAAGTGGCAGGGCATTGAGAGGAGAAAGAAGAAGGGCATGGGTATTCACAGAGGCAAGGACGGTTAGTTTGAATGGGATACGTGGGGTATAAAGATAGTCGGGGCCGTATCTCAGGTCTGTAGTGCTAGACCGAGGGATTATTATCCTAAGCAAAGTAGAACCATTGAAAGTTTTTTACAAAGGTAGTGACATGATCTGGCAGCAAAAGGTCAAATGAGGGAGGGAAGGAGATTGGTGAGGTCACCTCTATGGTTTATCTCACAAGGGTACAAGTGAATCTTTCTAAAAGCAGAGTATGAACGTTTTAACTCAATAACTAGGAAAATGACATGAAGGTTATGTTGACCACTTTGATGAGAGTATTTCAAAATGTATATGAAAATAGTACACTGTACCCTGTGATTGCATTAATATACACAGTTATGCTATAAGAAATTAAAACAAAATTAAAAAAAAAAAGATCAAATGAAACTTATCACTCCAGAACCCAGAGGCTCTGCCTATATGACTAATGTGCCCTTTATGACTCTTAAAAGATTGCCCTGGTAGCATCCATGCTAAGATTTGTCTCCCTACTCTAACATCTGGGCATTGGTAACTTGTGCTGCCTTTATCTTGAGTGGGACCAAGGTGGCAGCTTGGCTTTAGCCTCTCCTGTTCTGCCCCATCAGCCCTGGACTCTGGCCACTTTTTGGAACCTGCCTCTAAGCCTTGGCATGCTTCCTATAAGCCTCCAGGCTCCGTGTGGCAGCCCTGGAACTCTCCCTCCCGCTCCAGTTTTGATAATTTTTTGTCCCTCTTTTAGAGCTAAGAGTTAGTAAAGTTTCTTTGCCCTGCTGTGTTGCTGAGGTGTAGGGTAGATCAAGAGACTTGATGGTGGTGTCATTGAGAGATAATAAAGGTTTAATTGAAGGCGTGGTGGCTGAGATGAAGAAAAGGGGGATAAATTCAAGAACTACTGTGGAAAGACATGTAGACTTGTAGGAGTAACAGGATCTCATGACTGAATACAGGGGTGAGGGAGAAAGGAGTCAAATGAGTGCTGAGTTTTTGAGCCTATGTGGATTTCAGTGGTTTTAAAAAGACCAGCAGATACTTGTATTTTTTTCTTCCTTGTATGAAGTTGGCTGCAAGCTGTTATGTGGACAGAGCTGTCAAACAGGCTTCTTTTATTAATAGCTTTAGTGATGATTACCCTGAAGGGTGGTATGTGCAGCCTGGTCGAGTGAATTATGTCAACACAACGCCCAGAGCAAACTATAATTATTGAGTAGGCTTAGGGAAGGTATTCCCATCCCCAAATGCTGATATACCAAAAATGTGGAAGAAGCCCTTCCACTGATTTTAGTCTTT